ACATAGGACATAAAAGTTTTACAGGAACAAAGTTTGCGTCGACTAAGGTTAAGTTTATGTTTGCTAAAGTGTTTGAGTTCACTAAAGCTGAAAACTCTGCATTCGAATGAACAATAGGTAAACCAGCAGAGAAAGTATTGTTTATACGCATAAGTATCTTTTGGTCATAGTAGTTTCTGTCGACATTCGAATAACACTTTGAACCTAAGTTTGAAACAATATATAAAATAGGTGTGCTTAAAGTCAATGGAACAGACATTCCTTGTATGACACCTTTTCCTGTTATAGGAAACTGTTGGTAGTAAAAACCAGATATAAGTTTTGTATTATAGCTCATATCGTTTATACTAAACTCAGTCGGACATCCAAACATAATGAAACCTGCTCTAGTTGCAGCACATGTTACATCCGTCCTTAAAGTATTAAATAAGTCAACAAAACCTGTTGGTGGTATATCTGAGTAAGTATCTTCAAAGAAGTATTTTTTACCATTCACAACAATAAAATCTTCTGGTGTCAAAAGAGCAAAACAGGCTTTAGTCGTCATCGTGTTTAAGGTCAGTTTACAATATCGTCCTTGAGGACTTTGTAAGTTTGTTGTTATAGAATTATATGACTCAGGGTTTTTAGTCGTAATAGTATAAACCACTATGTCTTCTGCCATTTACTTAGCAAGTAAATTTTAATGAAATGTTGTGGTCGTCAAATATTTTTATGACGTCTGGGAAACTATATTTTAAGTTCAACGTTTCACCTCCTTTCATAACGTATATCTTGTCAATGACATTATATGAAACACCACAGCAACTAATGTCGGGTTCTATTTCTTTGATGTTTATATCGTCTGCCTCTGTCAAAAGTTTCAATAGTTCTTTCAAAATTTCATGAGGTGCGATGACATATGAGTTCACTTTTACAGGGTTGTGTTCGACCAAGTTTAACATTATACCCAAAGCTTGACAAATCTTCTCCTGAGTTTTAAGTTTGTCTTTAAGTTGTTGGTAGTCGTTTCGAATATCTGCAACAGAACTTAAGTCTCTGCTAACTTCAGGATATGTTGGTTGTTCTTTTACAGGAACAATTGTTATACCATCTTCGTCTTCGTATGGTTTCCCCACTTCAACATCTCTGTCTTTGACATTGACAACAACACTTTGACTGTTTGTTTGAGTTGGTGAATTTAACTTCACATCTGCCACCGCCATTAAACCTTTTGAAACACTCACGCTTCTATTTTTCGGAAATGACATTTTACTTAGAATAAAAAGATGGACGTATTCGAGTATCTCTTCGAATTGAAGCAAAACAAAGTTTATACTCACAAACAATACAAGTTCATTGACAGAGTAGTTCTTTATACAAACAATGGTAAATGTTATAGAATAGCAGTCTTTGCTGAACCTAAATATTTTCATAAAGCAAAGAAAGTTGGTATAACCGAGATGGTGAAAGTTCTTGAAGCAGACAAAAATATAACAACAAAACTGACCGATATTTCTAAAGGTAAGTTTATAATACAATTTTATGTCAAAACTGGCGTACTGTCAATATTTGACGGAGAGAAGTCAGTTCAAGAACAACTTACTGACCTGCTGCCAAAATCTGCTCGATGGAAGCTGTCGTTATGCCAATCTGAGGAGCCCCAGCAGGTTTCATCGAACGAATCTTCAAAAGAGCATCTTCCGTGAAAAGTGCTATTGGTTTTGTAAACTTCTTTGCTTTCAATTCATCTGGACCGTCTCTGTCACCAGTATATTGTATTTGAACTGTACCAACAGTTGAAATACCACCCATAAAGTCTTCTGAGTCAGCAAATGGAATGCCAAGCCAAAAGTTTGAACGGTCTCCATTTGTATATTGAGTTTTTTGACTTCCTGTATGGGTCCATACTTTCACATATGGCATAATAGAACTTTGCATTTCAGGGTTAATGGTTGTTGTGAAATTGTTGTTAAAGTTCATAGCATCTAATGTCAAGTTGTATGACCTCATATCTTCAACTGTAGAATATTCTTCTCTTGGATAATATTTGCCATCTATGTTTATATGATATTTAATACCAGGGTTGTAGAAACAAGAATAGTCATTTATAGTTCGTCTGAACAGTACAAACATAGTATCTGCATGTTTCATTGCAGTTGTTAAAGCAATATCTGTTCTTGCACCTGGGTCAGCACTTTGGTTTCCAACTTCACCTGCAAAGTCTTTGACAGATATTTGGTGTATAGGGAACATAAGTGGAACTGCAATATATTTGGCAGCTAAAGCATTTGAAATATCTGGGTCCAACATATAGACTGCAAGTCTGCTTTCTATTCTCTTGCATTCAAATTTTTCGCATGTGAACTTAACTGGGTCCCAAGCATCTCCAGCAGCATTGAAATAATAGTTTACTTCAGTGTTGAGGTTTGAGAAACCAAAGTCTAAGTCAACTTTGTTTTTGCAAAAGTCGGCGAATGACATTTTATTTGTTCCCACTACTTCTGTAAGAGTGAATGGGTCTTGTGTTGGTGCAATGACTAAGTTATTTTTGCTTGGAGTAAGTTCGATAGAAATTTTTCCTGCCCAGTTTGGCAAGTATCTTAAAAACCTGAAGATGAGGAAAGATGACAAAGGAACTCTAAGTTTCAGTTTTACTTTGGTTACTGCTGCTGCAGTTTGTCCAGAAAGGTTAACATAAACTCCTGGAACGTTAGGGTCAAGTCTTCTTATTTTCTCAATAGTTGCATACTGGTCTGTTTGTTCTCTAGCTTGTGGTTGTACTGAGTTTCTCAAAGCGAACCATTCATAGTTTGCCCATGTTACTGTTTGAACTAAGTCAGAGTTAGAATATATCTTATATCCCATGAAAACTTCTGGAGCATATTGGTATCCGACATAGAAAATTCCATTGCAACCTTTCTTGTCAGACAACTTGGCAGAAGGTTTTATTCAATGTCTTGTTCCACGTATAAGAAAGAGTTGTCAATAGAAATTATATGAAACCTGTCGCAAGCAATATCTACTGTTGTTGAAGAACCTTCTCCAAACTCACCTACATTTCCATAAGAAACAGCAGTTGTATATTCGTAAGTTCCAGGAACTATTTCTGACCTTTAATGGCATTGTCGCATTCGTTATACCATTCGGAACATTTCCATTCATAGCATCCAAAACTGTTGGCGTTATATTCTGAGCGGCGTACATTTCATATGAGTAAAAATATAGAATAGTTGGATTTATATGTCATAATAGAACCCACGTGGACCAAGCTTTACTTTCTTCCTGACTGAGTTTTTAACTCTTCTTTTTCCTTCATTGCCCTCTGCTTGAAGTTGTTGCATCTTTGCATTATGTTCATCTAGTATGTTGCAAATTTCCCATGTCCTTTTTGCCTTTGGGCTCTGGTCGCCCATCTCAGGTAACCTATATCCTAGAAAGAGTTTGTCATAGTTGTATTTGAGTCTTCGCGTATTGTCATGACTCTTTCCTGAGTTTCCGGTTCAAGCTCTTCAAACAGTGCCTGTCCATATGGAATAAGCTCGTTTCCAAATATATGTTTTTGTAGCCATTCTGGTTTTCTTTCCATGTTACCAACTATATCTTTTGTGAATGGGAAAGCTTCTACCCAATCTTTCAGTCTTGCGTCGTTTATTTCTGTAGTTGGTTTTATTTTGTCAAGGAACATGTTTTTCAATACTAACATTTCATTTGGTACTGTCCATTTGAGTTTTCTTAAATATTCATCCCTTCTCGGTTCATTGTCTGCAAAGTAAGTTTTTATGACATTTTGTAAACTTTCGTTTGCAAGGTCATGTACAATAGGTTCTCTTCCTTCTCTGTCCATAACTTTCTTTCTAAACTCTTCACCAAATATACCATCTCTATGGTTCTGTGTAGTTCTTTGAGATAAATGTTTAGAACGTCAGGTGTTATATTTCCATCAGCCATGTTCATTTCATACTGGTCCAAAATATCTGCATGTTTCATATCTTTCAATGGCATTAAAGCCGCGCTGAAAATACCAGCTATATCTGGTTCACCATTGACTTCCATTGCGTCTACAACTTCTTGGAATTGTGGTTGTAAGTTTATGAACCACCTATCCGGGTTAGCTTTATGACCCCATCTCATTGTAGTTCCATCGTCTGCAGAAACAAAAGTAGGTTTGTTTCCATCTTGGTTAGGTTCTGAATGAACTTTAAACAATGTTTCATTTCTATATGTTTTTTGAAATTTAACCTTTTATCTTCACCGAGTTCATCCGAAGATTGAACGTTAAATGCTCGTAAGTAAAAAGGGTTGTTGTATTTGTGTACATTTTTTTTCAGTTCTTCCATTCTATGCTGAATATTTTCATCTGGTGCTGGAGTCTTTTATGTCGGCAAACATTTTTCGATATTCTTCTACTATGTCAGCCGAATTTTTTTTAGACTCTTGGAAATATTCCATATTCTCCGCATACTCTTGTTGAGGGTCAAGATTTTTCGGCTGTTCCAAATCTTCATCTAGTTCTGTGAAGTTAGTTTCCAAAGGAGTGACTTGTTCGTTTCCTTCAGGCTCTTCTAGCTGTTGTTGCTGAACTATTTCTTCCATGTCTGGTTGTATCTGAACTATTTCTTCCTGTGGAGTTTCTTGTACCTCATCTGCTGGCATTTCATATATTCCGAGACCGTTTTTAACAACTTCCCTTTCTAAGTCATCCGGACTCAAAAACCTTTCTTCTTTCGTTCCGTCTCTACTTTTTACGCGTTTCATGACGGGAGTTGAATTGTCATTTAGCTCTGACATCAAATATCTCGGAGTAAATTCAGTCATGTCATTTGGATGATATGCTATTAAATCATATCCCTTAGCGAGCTTGTATTTTCCAGGTTTGAAATTATATCCGATTTGGTGCTGAACCATAAAGCTAAATAGGTTCGGGTCAGTATTTCCATCCTTGAACTTTCTAATAGCTTCTTTATATCTGTCACTAAAGTCAATACTATCTGGGTAACCATAGTCTTCCTTAAGCCTTTTTAAGAATTCTTGGTTTCCTTGTTCTCTACTTCTTTTATGTCCTTGCTCTGTTTGTGGTTGTTGTTGTGCAGGGTTTTGAACTGTTGGTTGTTGTGTTGGTTGTGGAGGTGGTTGTTGTGCTGGTTGTGGAGGTGGTTGTTGTGTTGGTTGTTGTTGCTGTGCTGGTTGTGGAGGTGGTTGTTGTGTTGGTTTTGGTGCATGCCTGTGTCTGTGTCCATGTGACGATGTAAATGTGTTAGGTAGTCCTGGTGCAGGTGCTTCTCTTGGAGGGTTTGGTGGTATATAAATTCCAACAGCTGGTATATAAGTTCCACTAGCTGGTATATAAGTTCCACCAGCTGGCACATATGTTCCATCTGCAGCGTAATGTCCTACCTGACTTTTCGTTTTTAAGAAAGCATTTACTAGGTCTGTTTTGGTCTGTTGTAACTCTTTTTCTTGACTTTTCACAACAGTTGCTCTAACGGCGTCATAGGCACTTTGAACTGCCTGTCTCGTTGCTGCATCTGTTATTTTCGTCATATTTTGTGCTACTTCTTTTAACTCTTTGTCGAAACCTTCAGACTTCAGTTTCTTTCCAGATGAGAAGTCGTTCACTAGTTTCACCTTACTATGAAGAGCTTCGAATGCGTTCTTAAAGTCAGCATTCGTTAAAGCTTCATTTGAACTATCTTCATCCGCTTGTATTTTTGTCCTTATTGACCCTATGAGTTGGGCTGCTTTAGCGTTGGCTTGGGCATCTAACCAGTCATTGTTAGCTTTTATATATTCTGCGCTTTTCATTGCCTTTTGCATGGCTGCGTCGTTATTTTTACTTTCTTGTGCTAAGTTTTCATACTGTACGGTTTGGTTTTGCAACTGTAAAAGTTTTTCTGCCTTTACATTTGCTTCAACTTCTTTTTTATACTCATCGCTATCCATATATGTCTTCAGGGCTTTTTGTTTTATCTCTTCATCTTTCAGTACTTTATATTGAGTAGTATGGTTTTTCAAATTTATGACATCTTGTTCCATTTTTGCTACTTCTGCTGCTTTTTCTGACACTTTTTTCGCATATTCCTCTGTGCTTAGTTCTTTCAGTTGTTCTTCTTTCTTCTTTTTCTCTACGTTTAACTCATTGAGTTTCTTTGTGTGTCTGTCATATTCTAGTTTCTTTTCGTTTTCACTTATTTGCTTCTGTATATCTATGTTTGACTTTTTGACATCTGTTATTTGATTTTTGAGTGAACTCAAATTCATTTGACTTTGAGGGTTATATGCTGTTCCGTCTGCAGCTCCACCATAGCCTGCCATTTTCGCTAAAAGTGCCGCTCTTAAACCTCCACTCTGTGCACCAACAACTCGGTTTAAAAGCATAGGATTGCTTGACATTTGTTGCAACATAGTGGGGTCATTCAGCATTTGTTGTTGCAACTGTTGTTGTGGTGTCAGTTTTACTATTGGATGTTTCAATGCTCTCTTCCTCTTACGTATATTCTTACGTAGCTTACGTGGCATTTTAAGTGAAGTTAAAAAGCGGTTTTTGACAGATGTTTTGTTGTGACTTCTTCGTAAAGACTTTGTTAAGACTTCTTCATCGTAAATGAGTGTAAATGACCCAAAAATATATTTTATGTTAGAATGTTAGATCTAACATGTTTTCTAACATGTTTTCTAACATGGTCTAAAACATACAAAACTCATGAAATTTCATACGGAATTCAGCAAAAATATATTTTATGTTAGAATGTTAGATCTAACATGTTTTCTAACATGTTTTCTAACCTCATGAATTTTCATGAACTTTCTTTACAAAGTCTTTACGATGAAGAACTTTACAAAGTCTCAACAAAACATTGACAAGAAAGTTCATGAGAAAGACTTTACAAAGTCTTTACGATGAAGAACTTTACGATGAAATCATGAGTTTTCTACGATGTTAGAAAACATGTTAGAAAACGTGTTAGATCTAACATTCTAACATAAACATTATTTTTGTCTGATTTTACGATGAAGAAGTCTTGACAAAACATTTACGATGAAGAAGTCTTGACAAAACATTTATGAAGAAATCTCAACAAAGTCTTTATGAAGAAGTCTTGACAAAACATTTACGAAGAAATTCATGAGTTTTCTACGATGTTAGAAAACATGTTAGAAAACGTGTTAGATCTAACATTCTAACATAAACATTATTTTTGTCTGATTTTACGAAGAAGTCTTGACAAAACATTTACGAAGAAGAAGTCTTGACAAAACATTTACGAAGAAGAAGTCTTGACAAAGTCTTTACGAAGAAGTCTTGACAAAACATTTACGAAGAAGTCTTGACAAAGTCTTTACGAAGAAGTCTTGACAAAACATTTACGATGAAGAAGTCTTGACAAAACATTTACGAAGAAGTCTTGACAAAACATTTACGAAGAAGTCTTGACAAAACATCCTCAGGGCTAGAAGGCACGAAGTGCCTGGGAGCCCCACTACCTTTTTTTTTTTTTTTTTTTTTTTTTTTACTTTTATTATATAATACCTGAGTTCATAACTGAAAACTCTTAATTAGAGTACAATATTCAACTTAATCATAACAAGATTTGTTGAATTTCAAATTTGATTTATATCTTCCATCACTTAAAACTCTCACAGCTTACAATATAAGCTAAAAAGTATATTTTCATAGTAATAAAATTAATTATTAAATTTTTTACTTTTTCCTTTCCAAAACTAGAAAAAAAGGAAGGGAAAAGGGAAAAAGAAGAAAGAAAAGAGAAAAAGAAAAAAAAAGAAGAGAAAAGAAGAAAAAATAATAATGAGCATATTATATAATTGTGGTCATAGGCCGAGTGGCGTGGAAAGGATGTCGCCCTTCGGGCTCCACCCTTTCCACGCCACGAGGCCCGATTTTTGGCCACTTTTTTGATTTTGGCCGCCTGCCAGGAGCTGGCACGCGGCCCGCAAAATTGTGCCAGTTTGTACAACCCTATAAATTTTGTAGTTTACGTGTATCTACTTTCAAATAAATAAGTATATAACAAAGTTGCGAGAATGTTCTTGTTAACTTTTGGTAAAATTAACAGAATAAAGAGATACACATTTTTGGAAAAGATAATATATATAAAACGAAAATATATATTTACAATAATACAAGATAAAAATAATAAAAATTAAAATACCGGGATAACATGAACAGAACCATCAGTTGTGATTGCAATCAGAGACCTTGTACCCCACTGTTCAATATATAGTGAATCTCCAATTTTATCGCAAATCTTCGTCATCTTTTCAGGGAAAGGAGCTTCAAACAAAAACATTTCTTGATTCGAATTCGTGAAAATGATGTGGTCGAATCCGTACCTGTCATTGAAGGAGCAAACGAATGTTGGTAATCTGTTTATTGGGTATTCAGCCACTTTAACTCCATTGCAAGTATAAACAACGATCTTTGCGGCCAAGTTTGTATCATCCAAACCTTCGCAAAAAGCAACAATGAATCCCCAATTTTTAGTAATTACCAAATTTGTGCAAACAAAAGATTCCAAATTCAAAATCTGTGTCACGTGTTTTGATAAAATAGACACTAAATAGATTTCTCCTTCTCTTGTTCCTACAGCGACCATCTGGAAAATTGCAGAAACAGCTAAAGCTTCGATTGTTCCAGCGTTTAGTTGTATCGAGAAAATCATTGATTCGCTGTGTTTGTAGATGGAAATTGTTGAATCTGTTTGTGCAAAAGCCATGTAATTACTAGAGAAATCATAAGCAGTGATATTCGAATGGAAAACAACTTCTCTTTCTGATTCGCTTTCCAAAGAAATCAACTGCACTTTGTCTTTCTTTGTACCAATCATCATGATCTTTAAACTCGTGATTGGAATCAAAACATTGAGTCCTTCTGCGGCATTCGACATCGTCAAAGGAATTTGGAATTGTTTTTCATTGATAAGTCTCGTTGTCGATTTCTCTGGATTGAATCTCAACGTTCTAATGAAACTGTTCTTGTCTAATGTCAATACAGTGATGATGATGAAGAAAGTGAATCATCATCAACAACTTGGTAAGATTTTAAAAATCAAATTTTCGATTTTATTACCAAATGAGAGAATTATATTTTTAACACTTAAAAAAAAAAAAAAAAAAAAAAAAAAAAAAAGGTAGTGGGGCTTCCAGGCACTTCGTGCCTTCTAGCCCTGAAGATGTTTAGTATAAATGAAGTTTTTATTCGGAAAATTGTTAGTCTTCTGGGTCGAAAACATTATATAATGTGTCGCTTTTCACAAATTATATATGTTTTCATGTTTTGTCAAACATGAACGTAAATGTTTTGTCAAGACTTCTTCATCGTAATGAGCGTAAATGACCCAAAAATATAATTTAGGTGAAGAGGTGAGATGTCACCCGTTTTCTCACCTGTTTTCTCACCTCTTGAATTTTCATGATTTCTTCGTAAATGTTTTGTCGAAACTTCTTCATCGTAAATGTTTTTTACTTCACTTAAAATGCCACGTAAGCTACGTAAGAATATACGTAAGAGGAAGAGAGCATTGAAACATCCAATAGTAAAACTGACACCACAACAACAGTTGCAACAACAAATGCTGAATGACCCCACTATGTTGCAACAAATGTCAAGCAATCCTATGCTTTTAAACCGAGTTTTTGGTGCACAGAGTGGAGGTTTAAGAGCGGCACTTTTAGCGAAAATGGCAGGCTATGGTGGAGCTGCAGACGGAACAGCCTATAACCCTCAAAGTCAAATGAATTTGAGTTCACTCAAAAATCAAATAACAGATGTCAAAAAGTCAAACATAGACATACAGAAGCAAATAAGTGAAAACGAAAAGAAACTAGAATATGACAGACACACAAAGAAACTCAATGAGTTAAACGTAGAGAAAAAGAAGAAAGAAGAACAACTGAAAGAACTAAGTACAGAGGAATATGCGAAAAAAGTGTCAGAAAAAGCAGCAGAAGTAGCAAAAATGGAACAAGATGTCATAAATTTGAAAAACCATACTACTCAATATAAAGTACTGAAAGATGAAGAGATAAAACAAAAAGCCCTGAAGACATATATGGAAAGCGATGAGTATAAAAAAGAAGTTGAAGCAAATGTAAAGGCAGAAAAACTTTTACAGTTGCAAAACCAAACCGTACAGTATGAAAACTTAGCACAAGAAAGTAAAAATAACGACGCAGCCATGCAAAAGGCAATGAAAAGCGCAGAATATATAAAAGCTAATAATGACTGGTTAGATGCCCAAGCCAACGCTAAAGCAGCCCAGCTTATAGGGTCAATAAGGACAAAAATACAAGCGGATGAAGACAGTTCAAATGAAGCTTTAACAAATGCTGACTTTAAGAACGCCTTCGAAGCTCTTCATAGTAAGGTGAAACTAGTGAACGACTTCTCATCTGGAAAGAAACTGAAGTCTGAAGGTTTCGACAAAGAGTTAAGAGAAGTAGCACAAAATATGACGAAAATAACAGATGCAGCAACGAGACAGGCAGTTCAAAGTGCCTATGACGCCGTTAGAGCAACTGTTGTGGAAAGTCAAGAAAAAGAGTTACAACAGACCAAAACAGACCTAGTAAATGCTTTCTTAAGAACGAAAAGTCAGGTAGGACATTACGCTGCAGATGGAACATATGTGCCAGCTGGTGGAACTTATATACCACCAAACCCTCCAAGAGAAGCACCTGCACCAGGACTACCTAGAACATTTACATCGTCACATGGACATAGACACAGGCATGCACCAAAACCAACACAACAACCAACACAACAACCACCTCCACAACCAGCACAGCAACCAACAGTTCAAAACCCTGCACAACCAGCACAGCAACCAACAGTTCAAAACCCTGCACAACAACAACCACAAACAGAGCAAGGACATAAAAGAAGTAGAGAACAAGGAAACCAAGAATTCTTAAAAATGCTTAAGGAAGATTATGGTTACCCAGATACTCTTGACTTTAGTGACAGATATAAAGAAGCTATTAGAAAGTTCAAGGATGGAAATACTGACCCGAACCTATTTAGCTTTATGACTCAGCACCAAATGGGATATAATTTCAAACCTGGAAAATACAAGCTCGCTAAGAGATATGATTTAATAGCATATCATCCAAATGACATGAACGAATTTACTCCGAGATATTTGATGTCAGAGCTAAATGACAATTCAACTTTCGTCATGAAACGCGTAAAAAATAGAGACGGAACGAAAGAACAAAGGCTTATGAATGCGGATGACGTAGATAGGGAAATTGTTGAAAACGGTCTCGGAATATATGAAATGCCAGCAGATGAGGTACAAGAAACTCAACAGGAAGAAGTTCAGATACAACCAGACATGGAAGAAATAGTTCAGCAACAACAGCTAGAAGAGCCTGAAGGAAACGAACAAGTCCCTCCTTTGGAAACTAACTTCACAGAACTAGATGAAGATTTGGAACAGCCGAAAAATCTTGACCTTCAACAAGAGTATGCGGAGAATATGGAATCTTTCCAAGAGTCTAAAAAAAATTCGGCTGACATGGTAGAAGAATATCGAAAAATGTTCGCCGACATACAAAAGACTCCAACATCAGATGAAAATATTCAGCATAGAATGGAAGTACTGAAAGAAAATGTACGCAAATACAACAACCCTTTTTACTTACGAGCATTTAACGTTCAATCTTCGGATGAACTCGGTGAAAATAAAAGGTTAAATTTCAAGAAAACATATAAAAATGAAACATTGTTTAAAGTTCATTCAGAACCTAGCCAAGATGGAAACAGACCTACTTTTGTTTCTGCAGACAATGGAACTACAATGAGATGGGGTCATAAAGCTAATTCGGATAGGTGGTTCATAAACTTACAACCACAATTCCAAGAAGTTGTAGACGCAATGGAAGTGAATGGTGAACCAGATATAGCTGGTATTTTAAGCGCGGCTTTAATGCCGTTGAAAGATATGAAAGATGCAGATATTTTGGACCAGTATGAAATGAACATGGCTGATGGAAATATAACACCTGACGTTCTAGAACATTTATCTCAAAGAACTACACAGAACCATAGAGATGGTATATTTGGTGAAGAGTTTAGAAAGAAAGTTAGGGAGAGAGAAGGAAGAGAACCTATTGTACATGACCTTGCAAACGAAAGTTTGCAAAATATCATAAAAACTTACTTTGCAGACAATGAACTGAGAAGGGATGAATATTTAAGAAAACTCAAATGGACAGTACCAAATGAAATGTTAGTATTGAAAAACATGTTCCTTGACAAAATAAAACCAACTACAGAAATAAATGACGAAAGACTGAAACATTGGGTAAAAGCTTTCCCATTCACAAAAGATATTGTTGGTAACATGGAAAGAAAACCAGAATGGCTACAAAAACATATATTTGGAAACGAGCTTATTCCATATGGACAAGCTCTGTTTGAAGAGCTTGAACCGGAAACTCAGGAAAGAGTCATGCAAACAATACGCGAAGACTCAAATACAAACTATGACAAAATCTTTCTAGGATATAGGTTACCTGAGATGGGCGACCAGAGCCCAAAGGCAAAAAGGACATGGGAAATTTACAACATACTAGGTGAACATGAGGCAAAGATGCAACTTGAAGCAGAGGGCAAGTTACCAAAGCGACACCAAAGAAGAAGAGAAAGTCGTGAAAGTAGTGAAGAACAAAGTGAAAGTAGTGGCAATGAAGGAAAAAGAAGAGTTAAAAACTCAGCCAGGAAGAAAGTAAAGCTTGGTCCACGTGGGTTCTATTATGACAAATAAATCCAACTATTCTATATTTTTACCCATATGAAATGTACGCCGCTCAGAATATAACGCCAACAGTTTTGGATGCCATGAACGGAAATGTTTCCGAATGGTATAACGAATGCGACAATGCCATTAGAAGGTCAGAAATAGTTCCTGGAACTTACGAATATACAACTGCTGTTTCTTATGGAAATGTAGGTGAGTTTGGTGAAGGTTCTTCAACAACAGTAGATATTGCATGCGACAGGTTTCACATTATTTCTATTGACAACTCATTCTTATACGTGGAACAAGACATTGAAATAAAACCTTCTGCCAAGTTGTCTGACAAGAAAGGTTGCAATGGAATTTTCTATGTCGGATACCAATATGCTCCAGAAGTTTTCATGGGATATAAGATATATTCTAACTCTGACTTAGTTCAAACAGTAACATGGGCAAACTATGAATGGTTCGCTTTGAGAAACTCAGTACAACCACAAGCTAGAGAACAAACAGACCAATATGCAACTATTGAGAAAATAAGAAGACTTGACCCTAACGTTCCAGGAGTTTATGTTGACCTTTCTGGACAAACTGCAGCAGCAGTAACCAAAGTAAAACTGAAACTTAGAGTTCCTTTGTCATCTTTCCTCATCTTCAGGTTTTTAAGATACTTGCCAAACTGGGCAGGAAAAATTTCTATTGAACTTACTCCAAGCAAAAATAACTTAGTCATTGCACCAACGCAAGACCCATTCACTCTTACAGACGTAAAGGGAGCAAATCAAACGTCATTCGCCGAATTTTGCAAAGACAAAGTTGACTTAGACTTTGGTTTCTCAAACTTCAACACTGAAGTAAACTATTATTTCAATGCTGCTGGAACTGCTTGGGACCCAGTTAAGTTCACATGCGAAAAATTTGAATGCAAGAGAATAGAAAGCAGACTTGCAGTCTATATGTTGGACCCAGATATTTCAAATGCTTTAGCTGCCAAATATATTGCAGTTCCACTTATGTTCCCTATACACCAAATATCTGTCAAAGACTTTGCAGGTGAAGTTGGAAACCAAAGTGCTGACCCAGGTGCAAGAACAGATATTGCTTTAACAACTGCAATGAAACATGCAGATACTATGTTTGTACTGTTCAGACGAACTATAAATGACTATTCTTGTTTCTACAACCCTGGTATTAAATATCATATAAACATAGATGGCAAATATTATCCAAGAGAAGAATATTCTACAGTTGAAGATATGAGGTCATACAACTTGACATTAGATGCTATGAACTTTAACAACAACTTCACAACAACCATTAACCCTGAAATGCAAAGTTCTATTATGCCATATGTGAAAGTATGGACCCATACAGGAAGTCAAAAAACTCAATATACAAATGGAGACCGTTCAAACTTTTGGCTTGGCATTCCATTTGCTGACTCAGAAGACTTTATGGGTGGTATTTCAACTGTTGGTACTGTACAAATACAATATACTGGTGACAGAGACGGTCCAGATGAATTGAGAGCAAAGAAGTTTACAAAACCAATAGCACTTTTCACGGAAGATGCTCTTTTGAAGATTCGTTCGATGAAACCTGCTGGGGCTCCTCAGATTGGCATAACGACAGCTTCCATCGAGCAGATTTTGGCAGCAGGTCAGTAAGTTGTTCTTGAACTGACTTCTCACCATCGTAAATAGTTATGACACCAGTTTTGACATAAAATTGTATTATAAACTTACCTTTAGAAATATCTGTAAGTTTTGTTGTTATATTTTTGTCTGCTTCAAGAACTTTCACCATCTCGGTTATACCAACTTTCTTTGCTTTATGAAAATATTTTGGTTCAGCAAAGACTGCTATTCTATAACATTTTCCATTGTTTGTGTAAAGAACTATTCTGTCAATGTATTTGTATTGTTTGTGAGTATAAACTTTGTTCTGCTTCAATTCAAAGAGATATCCGAATACGTCCATATTTTTATTCGAAGTAAAATGTCATTTCCGAAAAATAGAAGCGTAAGTGTTTCAAAAGGTTTAATGGCGGTGGCAGATGTGAAGTTAAATTCACCAACTCAAACAAACAGTCAAAGTGTTATTGTCAATGTCAAAGAAAGAGATGTTGAAGTGGGGAAACCATACGAAGACGAAGATGGTATAACAATTGTTCCTGTAAAAGAACAACCAACATACCCTGAAGTTAGCAGAGACTTAAGTTCTGTTGCAGATATTCGAAATGACTACCAACAACTGAAAGACAAACTTCAAACTCAGGAGAAGATTTGTCAAGCTTTAAGTATAATGTTAAACTTGGTCGAACACAACCCTGTAAAAGTGAACTCATATGTCATCGCACCTCATGAAGTTTTGAAAGAACTATTGAAACTTTTGACAGAGGCAGACGATATAAACATCAAAGAAATAGAACCCGACGTTAGTTGCTGTGGTGTTTCATATAATGTCATTGACAAGATATACGTTATGAAAGGAGGTGAAACGTTGAACTTAAAGTATAGTTTCCCAGACGTCATAAAAATATTTGACGACCACAACATTTCATTAAAGTTTATTTGCTAAGTAAATGGCAGAAGACATAATGGTTTATACTATTACGACTAAAAACCCTGAGTCATATAATTCTATAACAACAAACTTACAAAGTCCTCAAGGACGATATTGTAAACTAACCTTAAACACAATGACGACTAAAGCCTGTTTTGCTCTTTTGACACCAGAAGACTTTATTGTTGTGAATGGTAAAAAATACTCCTTTGAAGATACTTACTCAGATATACCACCAACAGGTTTTGTTGACTTATTTAATACTTTAAGTACGGGTGTAAAATGTGCTGCAACTAGAGCAGGTTTCATTATGTTTGGATGTCCGACTGAGTTTACTATAAACAATATGAGCTATAATACAAAACTTATATCTGGTTTTTACTACCAACAGTTTCCTATAACAGGAAAAGGTGTCATACAAGGAATGTCTGTTCCATTGACTTTAAGTACACCTATTTTATATATTGTTTCAAACTTAGGTTCAAAGTGTTATTCGAATGTCGACAGAAACTACTATGACCAAAAGATACTTATGCGTATAAACAACACTTTCTCTGCTGGTTTGCCTATTGTTCATTCGAATGCAGAGTTTTCAGCTTTAGTGAACTCAAACACTTTGGCAAACATAAACTTAACCTTAGTTGACGCAAACTTTGTTCCTGTAAAACTTTTATGTCCTATGTATTTGTCAATGACGGCAGAAAGTTTCGAATTGGAAGATGCAACTGGTGAAAGTATTGTATTACAAGAACAACTTCAACAACAAATAGCTCAAGAACAACAAATGCAACAAATAGCTCAAGAACAAAGTCAAGAATAAAAAAATATTTTTTTTATTTTTATAAAAATGTACAGAATAGATGTTTCAGATTTTTATGACTTCCAAGCATTCAGAAATATGTGTCCATTTAGAGACTATAACAAAGCAGTCGAGAATTTGAAACGTTTAGTCATTTATGTTGACTCTGCCCCAGAATGTTATGTTATGAAAGAATGGGATGTTGTCTTTAACAAACCTAAAGCGACAATAGTTTCAGAACAAGAATGTAAACAGAAACTTAAGAAAATAAAAGTTGTACAAGTTGGCATGAAGATGTTAGATGCTTGGGATATCTTATTGTCAAAGTTAGAAGATTTTTCAGTTCGAGGTATAAAGTTCTATACACCTTCTCCAAACTTCTATTCTATCTTCACTGGATATAAATATGAACAAGTAGAATGGAAAGAAAATATTATAGAAGCTTGGTTAGACCATGTCAAAGAAATTATATGCAATGGAAACGAAAAGGTTTATGAGTATATCTTATGTTGGTTTGCAAATATCTTACAACATCCAAGTGCTAAAAATGAAACTGCTCTCATTATAATTGGAAAACAAGGAACTGGTAAGAATACTTTCTTTACAGATATTTTGTGCAAACTGTTAGAAGGTTATTCGAACCCTAATATGACAAACTTAGAAAACATCTGCGGTAAATTTAACTCTTCTATTGAGAATATGAAACTTATAGTATGTAACGAACTTCAAAGTATAGATACAACAAAAGTTTTGAACTCAGATGCTTTGAAGAGTCTTATAACAGACAAAGTTGGAGTTGTTGAAAGAAAATATAAAGACCAAAGAGTTTGTGAAAATGTTGCAAACTTCATTATGGTTTCAAACAATGCTGTTCCGATGAAGTTAGAAAGTTCTGACAGAAGATATGTAGTTGTCAGAACGTCAGATTCTCATATGCAAGATACAGAATATTTTGACGACTTAGCAGAAACTTTGACATCTGACTTTTACAACCACTTGTTCTCATATTTTATGACATTAGATATTTCAAAGTTCAATCCAAGACAAATTCCACATACCGAAGAGAGACAAACATTGTTAGAAGCAAACAAGAGTGTATATGAACTGTTTATAGATGAGACTAACTTTGAGTGTTTAGATGAAAGGTCATTGTACGATTCGTATAAACAGTATTGTCAAGAATATGGTTATATGGCAGCGTCTAAACGAACATTCTTGGCAAATATCAAAAATCTTTTAGATGTTCAGAATGGTGTATATACAAAGAAAAATTTTTCTGAGTAAATTTTAAAAAAAAAATATTTTTTTATCCGATAGAAAAGATGACGAAATTCATCTCAGTAAACAAGTACATGTCAGGACTTAAAGAAGAACTAGACCCATTCACATATTTGAATGTTTACTTCTACCATTTTGAAAAGTCTTCATTTGACAAAGTTTGGAACATCGAACCAGTTAAGTTTGCTATTGTGACTAAAAATGGTGCGAAATTTGAAGACTTAGACATAGAAGGTTTGTTAACAGTCAAAGAAAGTTTTGACAGAAGGTTCTCAAAACTTGAAGAAGGTAAAGCATACAAACTTGTTATACCTTATGAACCAAAGAAGACAGACGACTATGAATATTATGAGTCTAAGATAGTTGAAGTTCAAGGTAAATTAGGTAAAAAGATTTTAGAGTCTAAGCCAGTGTTTACTCCTAAAGAGGAAGAGAACATTGACATTGACCCAGAAATGTTCTAAAAATAAAATTTTATTTTTACATGTCATATCTCACCTTCTCTGGAACTGGTTCAGGTTCTTTCTTCTCTTCAACTTTTTTCTTTCTTTCTTTCTTCTTCTTCTTCTGGTGGAGTTATGTCAAATTTCTCCGAACCATATTTCTGTAAAAGTTCTTTGTCATTTAATAGCTCTTCTATTCTGTTTTCTATTTCATCTTCAAGAACAGCGCATGTGTCTTCTTTGCATTCTAAGAATTTTTGTTGGACTTCATCTCTCCAAGAGGCGTCATCTCTGTCAACAAGTCTGTCATTGACAAATTTTAAGACTTCTCTGCTTAATGTTTTATGGTTCTTGTCATATTCCCAGAAACAGAACTTTAGAACAAATTCACCTTTCTTGTTTACACTATGTAAGATTTTATGGTCGACAGATGTTTTGCTGTCAAAAAGTTTGTCTCGAATATAGATGGCGAAATCGCTAGACATTTTCTAAAAGATAAAAATTTTAATTTTTCTAAAATATGTTAGAAAAAAAGTTTGCTGACATTGACAAAAAATTTGAGAATGTTTTAAACAAGAACAAGAGGAAGTTAGAAAATGCTCAGATAAAACCCATACATGACAAGTTCTTATTTGCTCAGAATGGTATAACAGGTCTAATTGCACCACCTGGGTCGGGTAAGACTTTCACTTATCTTAAAATGGCTGCACAACAACAAGAACTAGATGAGAAGAACCCATTCTATGAGTTAGTTGTCATTTGTAGTACTTCTGGTCAATTTGACCAAACCGTCAATTCGTTCAAAGATATTATAAAGAAGTCTAAGTTAGTATGTATAAAAGACTCTGAGTTGTTAGATTGGATAAAGAAGTACCAAAGAAGGGTTTTGAAGTACAATGCTATAAATGAGTATATAAATTCGAAGTTTAAAGACCCAAATGAGGAAATGCAGAGAATATTAGAGAAGAAACACTTCAGAAACAAACAGAAAGAGATAGAATACATTTCGAAGAAATTGCAATCTTACGATTGGAAGACTTACCCTCATAGATGTCTTCTTATCTTAGATGATTTCGCCTCTCATCCTTTGTTAAAGAATAGAGAACAAGATATGTGTCGAATTCTTAAGAAGCTCAGACACTTTAACATCTCAGTTGTCATTTGTGTACAGACAGCAAAGAGTTTAAGTAAGGATGTAAAGAGAATACTTACTGACATTATACTTTTCCCAGGATTGTCAGAAGACGATTTCATGGAACTTATGAAAGAGTCCATGGCAGGTAAGTTTGACAGATATGAACTATGGGAGAAGTACAAAGTCATACAAGACCCTCATACTTCTTTCAGAATTCATATCTACGCAAACAAAGTTCAAATTGTAAAAAGTCAAGCGTAAAAATGTAAGTGTTTAGTCTTAGTCTGTTGTGGTTCTGCAGCTTTCGGTTCTTCTGGCTTTGGAAGACATTCAGGAAGAGGAATGTCAGTCGTCCGTTTGTGTCCTGTCGGAAGGAAAAACTCGGAATGTCGGAAGGAAAAACTCGGAATGTCGGAAGGAAAAACTCGGAATGTCGGAAGGAAAAACTTTTTCTGTCGGAAGGAAAAACTTTTTCTGAAGTTCGACCAAAAAGTTCTCAATTTTCGAAAATTTGAATGGTTTACGGACGAACAACAGGAAATTTTTTTCCAGTTGTCAGGAAATTTTTTTCCAGTTGTCAGGAAATTTTTTTCCAGTTGTCGGGAAATTTTTTTCCAGTTGTCGGGAAATTTTTTTCTTGTCGGAAGGAAGGACTCGGAATGCCAGAAGGAAGGACTCGGAATGTCGGATGGAAGGACTCGGAATGCCAGAAGGATTTGACAAGACAATTTACCTTATAGAGCTACCTGAGCCATCTTTGGTGTCAAGCTTGAAAAATAAAGATTGAAATTTACTCTGCTTGTTTGAAGTTGTCAAAATACTCTGTTATTTTTTCTTTCAGTAGCGGCAAATCTTCTTTGAAGGTAAGAATTGTACAACCTTTCATATCATAGTGTGTTTGAGGTAACGTATCTTGAACTATTTGTTTCACATCTTCATTTGGGGTCATTGAAATCGGTAAGTTTTCGCGATAGAACCAATTTCTGTCAGATTTGTAAATCTTAGCAAGGTCGTAAAAGCTTTTGTTGTTTCTTCTGACTAAATGCAACATAACCATATCTCTGTCTTCTTCATTTTCCATCTCTTCAGTATAAATCATATACTTATAGTTCTTTTCCTTTCCTTTTGGTACCGAACGCGGTATTCTTTTCTGAATGCTTTTGTCTTTTGCTTCAAGCTTGTTCTCTAGCTCTTCACGTTCTTGTCTATGAATTTCGTCAAGAAGTTTACAAACATACCAAGCATAACGAGGTGAAGCCCACATTGCAACAGCATTTACAAGAAGTCTATGTACATAATATCCTCTCAAACCGTTTGGCAATTTTTCACGATTTTCATGAGTTTTAGGCGAGTAAGATTTTTTACTTACTCGCTGTTCTTCACTGTTTTCAGAAAAAAGTATGTCTCGCTGTGCTTCGCTCAAAAATTCTTGTGTGCTTTGGTTCCTAAACCAGTCTTGTGGTTTCTTAGTATCTGGTGCAAAACATGCTGTCAAAATACTTTGCATTTGGTACATATCGTCTTTGACCGAACGAATGAGACGGAGTTGTTTGTTAAACTGAACCCACTCATATTCTTCATTTATAGCTTCATGGACTATAACTGTTGTTGTGTTCTCTGATGTTGACATATCTGTCTTTACATACAAAATAAAAAAATAAAAAAAAATAAAACTAACTTTATTTTTTCTATCTTGTATAAAAGATATGATTTTCATACGGAATTCAATAAAAATAATGTTTAGGTGAAGAGGTGCGATCTCACCTCCTTTTTCACCTGTTTTTTCACATGGTCTAAAACATACAAAACTCATGAAATTTGTGCTGAATTCAGCAAAAAATAATGTTTAGGTGAAGTGGTGCGATCTCACCTCTTTTCTCACCTCTTTTTTTTTATAAGCGTTTTACATGGTAAACGTTATTTTTACATGTATTTTTCAGCAACTTCGTCAAATAATTTTATAGCACTATCTATCTCATCTACTTCAAACGTTTCTTTACCTTTTATGGGAGCACCATACATTTTCTCAAACTTTTCAAGTAGTTCTGTTTCTGCAGCTCTCATATCATTAGCAAACACAACCTTGACTCTATTGACTATACTGTCATATCTTAGAGTTATATTATATGTTCTTCCTATCTTATATCTCTTTGTGTTGAAGTCCTTCGGTTTCTGAACGATGTAAAGTAAGCCTTCACTGCAACGTTCCGTATCGAATGAACCATGTGTTATGAAGTTATATCCAACAACTGGGTCTAACCATAACAAAACTATTGGTATAAGACTTTTGTCGATGAGATATGCTGCAGTTCCATAGAATCTTACCGATATCAAAAGCTCAGGATTTCTTGTCAAAATTTTCTGAGTTGAAGCAATTCTAACCCAGTCCTGCGGTCTCTTTCCAGATGGAGATATAATGTCTGACAAAGAATATTTGTTGTATTTCTTTGAGTATCTTACGTTTAAATCACCTATTCTAACCACTTTGGTGTCATTGTCTATCTTTCCAACTGTTTCAAACTCAACCTTTAACATTTTCTGTTCTTACATACAAGATAAAAAAAATATTTTTTAAAAAACTAACTTTATTTTTTTTTCTATCTTAAGGAAATTCATGATTTTCATACAGAATTCGGCAAAAATAATGTTTAGGGTAGAAGGTTAGATCTAACCTCTTTTCTAACCTCTTTTCTACCCTCTTGAATTTGTCATGAATTTTCATGAATTTTCATGAATTTTCATGATTTCATCGTAAATGTTTTGCTTCGTAAATGTTTTGCTTCGTAAATGTTTTGTTGAGATTTCTTCATCGAAATGAGCGTAAAGGACCCAAAAATAATGTTTAGGGTAGAAGGTTAGATCTAACCTCTTTTCTAACCTCTTTTCTACCCTCTTGAATTTTCATGAATTTGTCATGAATTTTCATGAATTTTCATGAATTTTCATGATTTCATCGTACATGTTTTGTTGAGATTTCTTCATCGAAATGTTTTGTTGAGATTTCATCGTTTATGTTTTGTCAAGACTTTCTTCGTAATGAGCGTAAAGGACCCAAAAATATATTTTAGGGTAGAAGGTTAGATCTAACCTCTTTTCTAACCTCTTTTCTACCCTCTTGAATTTTCAAGACTTCTTCGTAAATGTTTTGTCAAGACTTCTTCATCGTAATGAGCGTAAATCAGACAAAAATATATTTTAGGGTAGAAGGTTAGATCTAACCTGTTTTCTAACCTGTTTTCTACCCCAGTTATTTTATAAGCGTTTCACATGGTAAACGTTATTTTTGGAATTTTGTGAAAACTCAACGGTTTGACACAAGCCCTAAAAATTATTTTACTCAGAATTTTATACAGAATTCAATAAAAATATATTTTAGGGTAGAAGGTTAGATCTAACCTCTTTTCTAACCTCTTTTCTACCCCAGTTAT